AGCAATCATAATGTGTAAAAGAAAAAAAAATCCTGAGCACTTTCCCAGAGTAGTACATATTACTATTGTAGCATTGTATTGCTCTGGTCACAAAAGTAGAAAAAAAAATCATAAAGAAATAGAAAAATGTAAAAAAAAAATTGTTACTTTTTAACATGCTGTCACCAGTCTGTGTCCCTTATCACCGCCCACACCACTTATATGTTGATGCTGTACATGCACTGGTGACAGTATGTAGAAAAAAATATTGTGAACATTTTATTTTTTCATTTCTTCACTTTCCACAAAATGAAGACAAAAAAATGACAACTTAAAAAAAACTTACTATGCCTCCTACTAAATACATCAGACTGTCTACTTTCCAAAAAGTGGTCATTTGTGGGGTATTTGTACTGTCCTGGCATTTTTGGGCTTTATCAATTTTTAGATATATCCCTTAGTTTGTGGACTCTATAACTTTCCTGCCAACTAAAGAATAAACACTGATTTGGGTTATTTTCACCAAAGAAATGTAGCAGAATACATTTTGGACTTGTGTAGAAAGATTATTAATTTGCAAAATTTTATAACAGAAACAAAAATGCCTTTTTTTTCTTAATTTTCGGTATTTTTTCATTTATAGCGCAAATCTCTATTTGTGTGAAAAAAAAAATGATAAAAACTTCATATGGGTACAGTGTTGCATGACTGCGCAATTGTGCAACAGCGCTGAAAGGTGAAAATTGGCCTGGGCAGGAAGGAGGTAAAAGTGCCCGGTAGGCAAGTGGTTAAACTTAATTGAAACTTTTTTGGTACATTAAATGTAATTAGGCGTTGAATTAAACGTACAAAGTTTATAATGAAATTTGATTTACCACTGCAGTTTTCCGTTTTAAGACAGTTTATCTTTTTTTATATTTTAAGATGAAGATAAAGTTAAAATAATGATTGTCTTTAGAAGCAGCAGCCCCCTGCCTAACATCAGCCCATTTCTTTCTAAATAGTAAAGTCTTATGGAAATTTTCTGTGTGCTCTACTATGCTCAAAAGATCCAGCTAGATGGAAAGTCATATTATGGATGCAGAATGTGACCTTACCCATGAAGGCAAGGATCACATTTGCACTTCTGAAATGTGTTACAGTAATCTTTCTATTTATTCTCCCCTTATTAAAAAAAAGTTTTATATGGTGCTTTTTCACATCTGATTTTTCAAAGGAAGCCTACATTAGCAAGAGCATATTCTTGCTGATTTCTTTGGTATACATACAACAAAAGGCACATTTTCTGTAAACGTTTATAATTAAGCCTGTAAATCTAGAGTGAAACCTTTGTTTTTACTAGTTTGAATATACACTGCTCAAAAAAATTAAAGGAACACTTTTTAATCAGAGTATAGCATCAAGTCATTTAAACTCTTGGGATATTGATCTGGTCAGATAAGTGGCAGAGGGGGTTGTTAATCAGTTTCAGCTACTTTGGTGTTAATGAAATTAACAACAGGTGCATTAGATGGACAACAATGAGACAACCCCCAAAACAGGAATGGTTTTACAGGTGGAGGCCACTGACATTTTTTTCCGTACTCATCTTTTCTGGCTGTTTTTTACTAGTTTTGCATTTGGCTAGAGTCAGTGTCATTACTGGTAGCATGAGGCGATGCCTGGACCCTACAGAGGTTGCACAGGCAGTCCAACTCCTCCAGGATGGCACATCAATATGTGCCACTGCCAGAAGGTTTGCTGTGTCTCCCAGCACAGTCAGGAGATTCCAGGAGACAGGCAATTACTCTAGGAGAGCTGGACAGGACCTTAGAAGGTCCTTAACCCTGGACAATGAAGGAATTGATACCATTAAATGGCCCACACGCTTGCCTGACTTAATCCAATAGGAGCAGGGGCGGACTAACCATTTGGAAACTCGGGACACTGCCCAAGGGCCTGGGGTCAGTAGGGGGCCCCATGAGATGCCCCTGGTACCTTTTTCATAGGCTTTTTTGAGTTTGGGCAAGAACACAGGGGCCCCATGATCCCCTATTGCCTGGGGGCCCCATGATTTTTCAGTCCATCCCCTGAATAGAACACATCTGGGATATCATGTTTCAGTCCATCCAATGCCGCCAGGTTGTCCAGTGATGCCCTTGTCCAGATCTGGGAGGAAACCATCCAGGACACCATCCATTGTCTCATTAGGAGCATGCCCCAACATTGTCCGGCATGCATACAAGCACGTGGGAGCCATACAAACTAATGAGTACCATTTTGAGTTGCTGCAATTAAATTTCAGCAAAATGGACGAGCCTGCTGCATTATTTTTTTTTCACTTTGATTTTCAGGGTGTCTTTAAATTCAGTCCTCTGTAGGTTGATAATTTTCATTTCCATCAAACAAAGGGGAATCCTTACGTTTCTAACACATTACCCAGTCCATATCAGTATAGATATCCAGCATATTTTTCCCCATTTTGATCTGATGTGTTTTCAAAGTGTTCCTTTAATTTTTTTGAGCAGTGTAGTATGGGGTGCTTTCAAACCCTGTTTGACATTTTTTGGTTGCTGCCTGTTGTCTTTAAAACACACCATGAGGTGAGAGGAAATCTTTCCAAAGTGAGAAAAAAAAATCATTTTTTTAGAAATTATTTTTTAGAAATTTTTGGAAGATTTCTATTTGTTATATTGTACAGCGCTGAGCAAACTGGTGGCGCTATATAAATCCTGTATAATAATAATAATAATAATAATAATAATATTTGCCTCCTATTCCAGATAACAGTAAAACTTTGGATTTCCTTTAATTTTCCAAGTGGGAAGATAAACATAATTAAAAGCATGACTAAAATTCTAACCATGCCCCACTCTAGCCAAAATTAAAACACAAAGGGGTAGATTTACAAAACTGGAGCACTCAGAATCTGGTGCAGCTGTGTATGATAGCCAATCAGCTTCTACCTTCAGCTTGTACAATTAAAGCAGTCCACAGATGACTTCCACGAGTGGAAGGAAAGAAAATCACTTGATTTCCCCATCAACACAGTCAGTCGGTTATTAGCTGCGCTTTTATTGTCAGATAACCAGCAATTGTCAGAGAAGTGATTGACACTGATCATCAGTGCCCAGCAGTGCCACCCACCTGTGCCACCCATCTTTGCCCATTAGTGCTGCCCACCTGTCCCTATCAGTGCCACCCACCTGTGCCTAGTAGTGCCACCCACCTGTGCCTAGCAGTGCCACCTTCCTGTGCCCATCAGTGATGCAATCCTGTGCCCAGCAGTGCCACCCATCAGTATTCACCAGTGCCATCAGTCGGTGCCACCCATCAGTGCCGCCTATCAGTATCCAGCAGTGCCATCAGTCAGTGACACCCATCAGTGCTTCCCATCAGTGTGGCCTATCTGTGCCCTGCAGTGCCACCCACCTGTGCCTAGCAGTGCCACTCTGCTATGCCCAGCAGTGCTGCCCAGCAGTGCCACCCATCACTATCCAGCAGTGCCATTAGTCAGTGCCACCCATCAGTGCTGCCCATCAGTGCCGCCTATCAGTGCCCAGCAGTGCTGACTATCAGTGCAGCATCATCAGTGCCACCTATCAATGCCTTCTATCAGTGCCTCTTATCAGTGCCCATCAGTGCTGCCTATCTGTGCCACCTCATCAGTGCCCATCAGTGCTGCCTCATCAACGCACATCAGTGAAGGAGAAAAATTACCTGTTTGCTAAATTTATAATAGTGCAATTTTTTATAGTGTAAAAAATAAAACACCCAGCAGCAGTTAAATACCACCAAAAGAAATCTCTATTTGTGTGAAAACAATGATAAAAATGTTATATGGGTAAACTGTTGCATGACCGCGCAATCGTCATTCAAAGTGCGACAGCGCTGAAAGCTGAAAATTGGCCTGGGCAGGAAGGGGGTATAAGTGCCCAGTAGACAAGTGGTTAAAAAGGTAACCGGCAATATTTGTTTAAGTTATAGTAAGTTAAAGTGGTTGTAAAGGGTCAAGGTTATTTATCTTTATACATTCTATGCATGAAGGTAAATAACCTTCTGTATATAGCAGTGCCCCCAGCCACCTCAATACTCACCTGAGCCTCATCGCGATCCAGCTATGTGAGCGACAGCCTCTGCTGTCCCGGGTCTCTGCCTCCTAATTAGTTGACACAGTAAGCGGGAGCCATTGTTAATCACAGCCAGTCAACCAATGAAGAGAGAGAGGGGGCGGCACCCAGCTGCAGCTCTGTGTGTGAATGGACACATGGCGCAGCGGGTGCCCCCGTAGTAAGCTGCTTGCTGTGGGGGCATCCGACAGGAGGGAATGGCCAGGAGAGCCTGCGGGAGACCCGAGAAGAGGAGGATCCAGGATGCTCTGTGCAAAACCACTGCACATAGCAGGTAAGTATAGACATGTTTGTTATTTTCCCCCCCAAAAAATGAACCTTTAGAATCAATTAAATGAGAGCATGTAATAAATATAAAGTAGGTTTTATCCCAACTTTGCTGCAAAAGTGGAGACATGCTTTAAAGCGTTACTAATCCCACAACAGTAAAATCAGTCTGTAATGCATGCTTGTTATACTGTGGAACCTAAGGGGTTAATCCTCTGCATTGTGTAAAAACTCTGTTTGATCCGGACTTCTCTGATCCTCCTCTTCTTCCACTGCCCCCCTCCTGATCTCCTGATTAGCCATGTGCGGAGTCACTCAGTTTGGTGTGTATTGCTAGAGAGTTATTTTTTTCTTGAGAGTGCATGTGATCATCACAGGGCCAATCAGCACTGTCCAGACAGAGGTCAGGGGTTCTACATCCCCCTATAGAAGAATGAAAACTCCTCCTATAAGCTTTAACTTTAATGTGCTCTGCTGGACACAGATAGAAGTCACAAGACTGCTCTAACTGCTGATGAGAAAAAATATTTAGTAGTTTATATTTACTAAAATAATTGCATTTCCATGTTCTGTGTACTGTGGGAAACTAGATATAGTGAATTCAGGGTCCTGGGTTTAGTAACACTTTAAGGTAGGGATTCCTAGACAGAAAATAAATGAAATCTCTGTATCACACTGTAAGCCACACCAATAGGCCATCATGCCATTTGACAGTAGATCCTTGCTCTTACTTCTTCTGGATGGTCCCAACTACCCCAGGCAACACACTCTTGCTCCTAAGTGATCAGGTTGACAGATATCTGAATGGGTTTATCTCAAATGCTGTTTCAGCTGACTGTAATGCAGAATCAGAAAACAGTGTGACAGCTATGATTGTCTCTATGAAGACTAAAACACTAGTCAGCTCCAGGGTAAAATTTCTTCACCCTCTGATGTCACTGATTCTGCTTCATGGAACTATAATGAATCAGTCATTTTTGAGGGGTTGCAAATCTATTACTTTCTGTTGCTTTCAGAATGCTTAGGAACAACGTGTCTCTAGTTAAAAGAAGAAATGTGGGTAAGATAAATGTGCACCACTGTAAATGTAGAAGAACTCACACCACTGTCTTGTGTGGGGAAGATAAAATCCAAGTATAAGAAACATACAGTATACTGTATATATGGCACTTTACTAGCAAAACGAAAGTGCTGGTTTGTGTACATTTCAAATATATATATACAATGTTGACCATTTATGCAAAAAAGCAAAATAACATTTGACATACCCCTCATTAATACCAGCCAAACCCACTTACTATATGTAGCCCCCTAGATATTCAAACTTCTGATTACAGTCTCACTGCTTAGCCATAACAAGCCCACTTAGAGCAATATAACTCAGAGTCTCCCAGAGTCTCACTTGCTGGCTACCACATACCAAACTATACATTTAACACGAAGAAAGCGCACCAACCTTGCGCATTACCTCAATAAAAAACTGTGATTTTATTAAAATTAGATATATACTCACAAATAAAACAGTATAACAAGCGTATAAAATCCTGAAAGGAACATTGAAGCTGAACTCTGAGAGTCTCCCCTCTTGATATGACTCGCACTGGTCTTGCACTTCAATGCTCCTTTCAGGATTTTATACACTTGTTATACTGCTTTGTTTGTGAGTATATATCTCAGTTTAATGAAATCAGTTTTTTATTGAGGATCGCGATGAGGCTCAGGTGAGTATTGAGGGGGCTGGGGGCACTGCTATATGCGCAAGGTTGGTGCGCTTTCTTTTTGTGTTCACTTTGCAGTAGTGGTCAGGCTTCCCCAGCCTTGTTAAGAGCTGCACACCTTTGATCCACTGGTGGACGAACTTTCTTAGTGGTCTTTCCATCCACCCACCCTTGATCTGGGTCCTTGAGTGCAGGAGGTGTTGTTTCTGTTTCCACTATACATTTAACATGTCCAGATTCCTAATTTATCAACCCTTTGTAAGGTTCGAGGAGTTGAGAGGATCAAGTCCCTAACCACCAGGCCTGTAGACTGACTGATCAGAATGTCCCAATATAAATGTGACAACAGAAAACAACAGCTTTAAAAAAGGTAAAACAGTTTTTGCTTTATAATTACAAAATATACAGTATAAGCAGTTACTCTAGAAAAGAAGATATGTACAAAAGTACATAGTGAGACTAACTTTCCTCTCCAGGTCTACAGTAATCCCCTGTTTTTACTTCACTTCTAATGTTCCATAGTCAGCTGCCAATGTAATCCCCCCATCCTCCACCATGATCAACTTCTGTTCTTTCCAGGGGTGGACTAACAACTCATGGGGCCACTGGGCAAAGGGATCATCATAGGGCCTTCAGGTTTAAAGGTGGCCACCGCAGGCAGGAGACTCAAATTCAATAAAGGTACAATTCAATAAAGGTACCAGGAGCCTCTAAGGGGTAGTGGCATCGTAAGAGCATCATGGGCCCCTGGGCAAAGTAATGCACTGGGGCCCCTACCAGTGAGACGGGGACCTGCAGTGCACATAGCATGCTGCAGCACAGCTCACTGTGCCACGTATGGGGTGTTACTTTTTTGCCTGATTAGAAATTGTATCTGATTTTTAAAAAGTTTATTTTTTGGAAAGTTTAATGTCTTTTTTAAATGGTAATTTTTAATGAATTCTAATTTAATAATTTGTAACAATTTTTCACATTTTATCACAATTTTTTCAATTATTATTGGGGGGGTGGGGGGCTTTGTTGAGCTCACCTTTGAGACAGAGAAAGGAATTGAAGAAATCTGTAACCTCAATTCCTTTCTTTGAAACCTCAGTTGCACTAAACATTAATGAACAGGAGACACATTAATTTATAAACTGAAGCATAGTCAACACAGTTTACTATGCCCAGTTATCAATGGACACAGAAGTGATTGGTACGGATCACTTACTGTGTCCATTTTCATTAAAGGAAGGGGCTGATAAATGACACACCTTCCATCCTGACACATCCCCCTGTGTGCCCGCAGCTGCCGTTGGGAAAGGGAAGCTGGCAGAGCTGCGGGGTGGGGCTCACAGGGGGCACACATAGGGAAATCATATGTGAGCAGGACATAAAGGGGGATCAGTGCTGCGTGGGCAGGGGGGCAATTACAGATGACCTGAGTCTGTGTCTCTCCCTGCAGAAGCTGAAAGCCAGAGGGAGGGAGAGGAGATGAAACCGTCTGTAATTGCTCCTCCTTACCTAGCGGCACTGATTTCCCCCTGTGTGCTGGGCCCCCTATTGGTCCGGTCATTCTGCCCCTGGCTCTTTCTCTTATAAGCTCCTTTTAGTCAATTGCTATTCTGTATCTTATTTCTTCACCCTACTAAGGTCTCCCCCCATGATTAATTCAAACAAGATGGCACATCCTGACCAACGTGAACCTGTTAATGAATGGGTATATACAGTATTTGCTAGTATGAATAAAACCCCATAGAAAACTTTTATTTTAGATGAAGCATCTGATGTGAAAGGCCATTAGTTCCCCCTCGTTTCTGATGATTGTTTGATATCACCACTGACAGTTTTAGAGGGTGTTCTCTGAGGAAGAGGGTAACACACTTGAAATGTTTCAGTGATGACATTGACAAATTGTCATGCCAAAACTATCCAACAAGCCTTTCTGTTAGGCCTATGATTTGCTAGATTAACAATTTTAGTGGAGTCTGAAGGTGGCTATACTGTAGATGTTATCATTTTTACAAACTGGATTAGGAAACAATCGTCTCATACCTATAGCCCCTTTAAAGTGCTTCTGTGGCCAGGCTGTGGACATTTAAGCATTTACATATTATTACCAAGCAATAATAACCAAGCTTTACAACAACCTTCCTTGACTTCTGTAGATTCAGATAATGTGGAGCAATTAATCTTCAAAGTTTACGACAGAAGCACTAAAGTTGTTCTCTAAGCCAGCTCATCTTGCCCTGCTCCCATTCTTACCAGTAACTTGGCAGCCTTCCATTCTAATATTCTCTAATGTGGTGCTCTGGAAGGCAGAAGAGAACTTCATTGCTTCTACTGTGAACTTTGAGAATTAATTGCTCCACGGGTGCAGCTACAGAGGCCATGAGGGATTGTCTTAAAACTTATCTACTGATTGTGATGATTATGTAAATACTTGAATGTCATCAGTTTGACCACAGGTTCACTTTAAGGTACAGCAAATTCTGCTACAAGTTAGGGTTCCCTGGAGTCCTCTGCCGATAATTGAGCTGTCATCAAATATTGTCAAGAAAAAAACTAAGGCGGTTTAACCGAAACCTAATGCAAAGGCATTTAATTTTATTAGAACTCAAGGAACATTAGTATTCAGTTCAACATCCTAATTGTTTTAGCAGATCAGTATGAAAAAAATAATTCAACACAACATGTTGATTGTTTTAGCAGATCAGTATCTGTATTTAAAGTAAATCATTTAAAGGTGTTTGGAAACTCCTTAAGTCTGGAAGTCATGTACAGTGGTGAGGGATTTGGCCCTCTGACTGCATCATGTGAGAAACTGAAACATTAATGTGTGGATTTTTGAAGTGTATGCTGTATTGCTTTTCCTCTCTTTCGAAGAAAGCTACTAAATTGAGTGCTCAAGGCTGCCAGAATGACAAGATCATCTTTATTGGACAATTCTTCCATGTGTTTGCATAACTTTATTCTCAGTGGAGAGCACTCAAACCAACTCATTCTAGAAGAATTAGAGGAAAGCAGAAATAAAACATTTAGCAAGGAGTTATTATACAAGTCCCAATATAGTTTAATCTCTACTTAAATATATTAATACAACCATAATATTTTAGATTGTAACGTGTTCCTTGATATTTTAAAGAAATTGTGCTACTATGCAAACTACAGTTTCGTTCACACATTCTTATCACAAACAATCATATATTAACCAATGCACAACAAAAATAGATAAACCCCAATCCCTGGCTAATATCAGCGCACACCCCCTACCCGGAACTGCAAAATCACGTATATATAGGTGCTTTTGCGCTCCCCTGCCACCCTGTAGCAGTATTTCTGCTATAGGGCAGAGGGGAAGAGGTTGAACCACCTCTACCTCCTTACATTTTCTGGCATTTTCTATGCAGGACGTTTCTCATGGCAACCATGGGAGCCTGGGAAGGGGCTCTGGAGAAGGGGATTCATGCCTCCAGCCTGGGGGTTGGAGAAAGAAGGAAAGCTGAAAGAGGGAGCTCTAATGCCCTGTAGTCCACTAGGGAAAGGACAATCTGTGAGCCTGGAAATGAACCAGCCCAGCAGAAGGCCGGAAAGCAGTTCTGTCCACAACTGCAGGACAGGACATCTACACTCCCAGGGCCTATAAGGAAGAAGTCTGCTAGATGCAAGTTCTTGGCAAGTCTTCAGGGGATAGTCTAATACTTACCCCATACCTTGTCCTGGGATCAGATATCATAGCCAGATTTGCTGGTATTTTGTTCACTAAGGGGACCAAGAGCTCCTACGAGTTTTCACTTTGCTGAAAATCCACTCAAGGGACACTGAATTCCTAGGAGGGAATTACTTTGCTAAAGACCGTTGTGGTTCTGGCTGGAACATAGTCAGATATCTGTCATTTTTGCAGTATTTTGCAATATTGTAGAGAAGGAAATTGTCCTCATTTTGTTATTCTTCAATCAAATTGG